CTGTCAATCTTCAAGAAAAAGCAAAATGGAGAGAAAACAATCATCTATCCTCTACGGTAGGTATTACTTGCCTGAAGGAAGAAGTTAGGGTGTTTTCCAGTCCCTCTGATTTATTCTTTGTTTTCATCCTTTAGAAGGTAATCTGATCCACTCAAATGATCCCAGAGAACCACTTATCCTTTTCCAAGCATCCCCCTGTAAGACTGAACCTGGCTTTTGGTACTCTTCTTTCTTTAAACTCATTCCAGAAATGGGCTTCAGAGAATGACTTTCTAAAGTCAACACAAACTTCAGACTTTGGCTTTCTCTAACAATTGGTCACAGAATGCGGAAACTCAAAAACTCAGTAGTGCTCTCAAAGCTTTCAGAAGCAAAACAACTGAACAAAGATGCAGAGATAAGCACAGCCTTCAAACAACACCAGAACCCACTGGCTTACTTCCATGAAGTCCCCAAGTTCTAGAAATAAACGCTGTGTATATGACTTTTTTTTTTATCACAATCATGCACTCAAACAACCTTGGCATGTTTAGATTGTCATTGTCATTGCTTAGATCTTTAAAGAAAAATGTCTTTCACTGACACAGGATAGAGATTCAAGAATTCGGAGAATTTATAGGTTAAAAAAAGTCTTCAACAAGGAAAATATCAGATTGTGGCTTTTGGCTTCAAATACTGTAGTCGGATTACTTGAATAATATTTTGTTGTGTGAAATCCTTAAAAATGCATGGTTACATATATTTTTCATTTAAAAAAATGTTCTCCTTTCCTATTTGTGCTTAGGATTGAAACCATAAATACAGGCAAAACCAAGTATTTCCGTCAGAAATCTATGCTATAAATCTATCAACTTAGTTCTGTAAGCTACCTCAGATAAATTCTAAGTTGGACAAATACACAATGTTAAACACATGTGTGAATTCAATTAATTACGCAAGTAATCCTCCACATTTGGCAAATGTTTTATTCTGTTCTGAAAAGCTTAAACACAAAATAGAACAGTTTAGTGTCACGAGGAGCCTTGTACAGTTGCTGAGCACCAGGAAAACCTGCAAAGGCACACTGTCATTAAGTTCAAACCAAAGAGATCTGCCTCCTTTAGAATGATATAATTAGAAGTAGGCCTACATAGAGAACTGAAGAGTCATAAAACAAGAGCGTGGCGTCTGGTATCAGGATGACCAGGGTCTCACTCATGGCTCCGTTAACCTGCCAGCTGTGTGATCTTGCATAAGCTATTTGATTTTCTGAAATTCCGTTTCTTCAGTTGTAGAATGAGCATCACAGTAATATATATCTACCTCACAGAGGCGTGAAGACTGAAGGCATCAAATGAAGCATTCGCAACCAATGCAGCACCCGACATGGTAAATGGGATGTTAAGTAATAAATGTGAATCTGAATTCCTTTTTTCTCCCTCCCATCCGAGTGTAAAATTAAGGTGGCAGGTGTTGACAATGTATAAAGGTCGTGGAATAGTTGTGTTCTGGAAAGAACCGGCGTGTTTAAGTCAGATTTTAAGAATACTGAGGGAAATTTTGACATATACTACAACACGGATGAACCCTGGAGATAAGCTAAGCGAAATAAGCCAGTCACAGAAGTACGAATGCTGTATGAGTCCTCTTATTTCGGGTTCCAAGAGCAGTCAAATTCATAGGGACATTAAGTATAACGGTGGTTGCCAGCGACGGGCGGAAGAGGGAGGAAAATGGGGAGCTCGTGTTTCATGGGGACAGAGTTCCATATTGGGGAGAGGGAAAGGTGCTGCAGATGGATGGGGGTGACGGTTGCAAAACAACATGAATGTACTTCGGACCACAGATCTGTATGCTTAAAAATGGTTAAAATAAATTCTCTGTTATGTATATTTTACTGCACTAAACAAGAGCGCTGAAAAGTACTTGTTATTTAAAAGAAACTTACACCACATTCCTCTGAAAAAAGAATTTTTAGTAAAATAAATAATCATGTTGTAGTTTACGTGCTCTAGCTCCCAGGCTCAAGAGAGCGCGATGGGAGAAAAAGCAAGCAACTCTACCATTTGGGAGAACGACTTGCACTTCAGCCAGGCCCCTGTTGCTGGGCCACACCCCACGACTTCTCCCTGATCAGCTCTGTTTCTCAGTTCCTACAAGGATTGTTTGAAGCTCGTGGGGACGCGTTCAGACCATCACAGTATACTTATACTACCTTATGCTAAAATAAAGACCTTCCCTCTATCTGTTATCTGTAATCTAGCTCTATTTTAGATTGATTTTTTTTTTATAAAAAGGCAGTCTAGACTCATTGTCTCTACTCATTAAGACCCACTGCACTTAGCCATTGAAATGAAGTCTCTAATGCCACGACATTATAATTATCCTCACTCAGAGCCTCTCACCTGGTCAAACGCAATAGCCGCATTTTACTTCTCATCCCACTTGACATCTTGGTGGCCTTTGATACTGACTGTGCTTAGAGGGTCTTTTGCTGAGTATGCCTTTTAAATGGTGGGGTGTCCGGGGGTCCCTTGCTTGGCCCTCTCTCATTGCTCAGCTAGCTTCCCTTTTGTAATCTTGCCCGTTCACACATGTGTGACATCATACTCCCGCATCTTTTACTCCTCAACTTCAGTCACATTTCCAACTGCCTTCTAGTTATCGCGCCCCATTCTCAAATGTCCAAAACCAAACCCAATGCTTCCTTTCTAGTCTCTCATCCAATGAATAGAGGATTAAAAATCTACAACCATGTCCATGCTTCCATCTTTCTCACAACTGCCATTTGTAGCTCCCGACACTAAATCTTATAAATCCTACCTCCCCAAAAATCACTTTGTCTTCTCCGCAACCCTGCTGTCAATGGCGCAATCCAGGCCCTCCATCATCTCACTCATCTAGACTGTTGCACGAGGTTTCCTAACTAGTCTATGCTCTATAGTTTTTTTCCCTTCCAGTCCAATTTCCATACTGTTCCCAGGCATTTTACTAAAATGTAACTCTGTGCCGTTCCTCTGATTTTAAAACCTCCAATGGCTCCCCGCAGCCAGCAGGGCAAAGACCAGCTACTAGCGTTATACACACAGCTCCTTCCAATCTCATTTCCCCAAGCCCCAACTCCCAGAAGCTCAAGCGCCTTCAAAACGTCTCAAAAAATGATCCTCAGACCTTTCTACAGCTCGGGTCCAAGCTCCTCCTCCATCTTTACAGGGTGAGCAACTGCATCCTCTTGAAGACTCAACTCCAAAGCCAGTCTTCCCAGGCCTCCCCAGGCCAAACGAATCACATGCTTCCAGAGCAATCAGTACATGGGGCCTCTGCTACAGGCCTTATGACTCAGGATCGCACTTATTTGTTTCTTGCTCCCAAAGCCGTCACTGCACCCTACTCGGTGGGGACACCCCAAGACCGGAATCTCTGCCTTTCTTTTTTCAGTCCACCCCAGAATCTTTAAGGTTCATGTGGTCTCTCTCTCTCTAGTTCACGGATCTCCCAACCATAAAGCTCAGTGACTTCACGGCCACCTGGATGGACCATGGTGAGCATGTCTACCACAAGGCGTGGGAAAATCATTCATCTGTTTATTCAACTAACATTTACTAGATGTGGGGATACAGATGAGTAAGGCTTGACCCCTCCTACTAAGGAGTTCACAGGCTAGTAGGGAAAACAAACATGTAAACAAATGGCCACAGAATAGGCTGGAGGAGCCCAATGATTAGAGTCATTCCCAAGTCATTCTAGAGACACAGAGGCATGGACGAGGAGCGTGGGGCACTAGGGATGGAAGAGGCCCCCGGAGGAGGACTCTGGGATTGATGGCACCTGAAGGGAAGTCTCAGCGAACAAAAGGGGGCGGGGACGGGATAGGACAGGTGGGAAACAGGAAAAGGAAAAGGCACCAATTAACCACGTTAACGTTTTGTCAGATGCAAGCAATAGAAGTCATGATGCAATCGTCACAACGTTACCAGATCTTTTCATTGTGAAAAGAAACAGCGCGATCCACGACCTCGAGACACCCATTCTCACTTCTTTTTTCTATCCCTCTCTCTCTCACCCACTGACAGAAAGAAAAAGCTTAATACGTGTCATGAAAACTACGTGGAAGGACCTTCACAGCAGTATTGCCCGGTTTAGAGCCGGTGCTTATCTGCTACCCATGCTTCCCTCACACCCAGTCTACCTTCTCACATTCCCTGACCCCTCTCAGCTCCTCTGGTGCTCACCTCCCATGCATGCTGCAGCACTAGGCTACATCATTTAACACCCCGTATGTATGCAAAGGTGATGTTACCGAGAGCTAGCGTCATCTTTCTGTGCTAAAAAGAACTTATCAGCAGTCGTTCTTTTTTCACAGCATGAAATTTACCATTTAACTCGAAACCATAGTTCTAACTGCTAGTTTGGTTTAGTGTCTTTAAGTCTTTACTGGAAGCCTAAAGTTTTTTCTTAAAAGAAAAATAACGCTATCAGAAAAAAAATTCACATAATCATCATTCCATATAGCAGAGAAAACAGATTTAATCTGGCTTTGTCAGTGTTTTACTACACAATTCTTTGGGCAATTTAACCTCAAATCCTTACAGAGATCTTGAAATATACCTGTGTCACATAAAGTCATTTTTTAAATATTTTCATGGTTTTGCTCCATCTTATTGACAATGATTTTACTAATTTGAAAGCTAATTAAATACATGTACAGACAGGTAACAAAATACAAAATCATCTTTCAATTTACGTTTGTCAGTTACTAGTTTAATATTCACTGTGTATTAATTGCACTCCTGCAGAGTCAATTAACAGAGCATATGAATAATAGAATTGCGCTTGAAGTTGGGAGGCAAGGGAGGGGGAAAATGATTTCTCTTCTGAAATCTGATTGTGAGGCCCTACTACCAGGGGGAAGGGAAGGGAAAGGAAAGGAGGCAGGGGGGGGAGAGCACAGATAAGGAGAGTTAAAAGCAACATGTGAAGTGAAAAAAAAAATAATTATAAAGTACTTTCATTTTACTTACAGTTAAAAGACTCCCTGAAAACAACAAGTGCGGTAAAATCTTACTCCATCCCTGGCTAGGTCCGAGACCTGAGGAGCTGTACCATTCCAACAAGGCTTGGTGGTGCTGAAAGGAAGCGAGAAGGGGGTAAGATCTCAAAATCTAAGTGATGAAAGGCATGCCAGCCACTCATCCTCCCACCTCCAGCACTTTTTAGAAACTTAATCATCAAATTAGATGTTATAATCCAATTTCCAAAATTGTTCTACTCTCACTTAAACGGCTGTCACCTCTAATAATCTCACAGGCAATGCATTCATTTCAAACATCATTCTCTTCCGAGTCTGCACCATCTGAAGCTCTTGATCGCGCTGCTGGTTCCGGTCCTGGCAGGAACACAGCAGGTTCTTCCTCCTCTCAAATGCTCCAGCTCTCACTCCTGGTCCTAATCATTGCTCTCCAAACCACAGCTTCCCCCAAAAGGCTTGGTCCTCAGGGCTCCGGCCTCTTTCTGCGGACTCATTCCCTTGAAGAGGTCAGCCATCACTTCTGGGATGGCAACTGTGAAATTTCCCTCTTGGATTGGACATTTCAACAAGAGCCCTGGTTCTACAGTTTCAACTGCTTATGAATGTCCCCTTAAATGTCTAAAACCAAACAAGCACCCTTATCCCCTGAAAACTGGTTTCTCTTTCCAGCTATTACATGCCTGTTCGTTCTGCAGATCTGAAAGCCCTGAGATCATTTTTTGCTCTTATTTTCCTCTCATCATTTTGCTGCATCCCTCACGTGTCCTACATCTCCTCTCTCATCTCCCCCGACCACCTCCGTCGTTACTTGACTGCTCCATCACTTCACTAGGACCTATCTCCCATTTCTCCCTTTCTTCAGTTCATCATTGATAGTGCTGCCAGATTAAATTTCCTCTGGGTACCATGTTTTTTTCCTTTTCAAAATCATACCATCACTTTCTTCAGCACACACACAGTGTGGTGGTTATAAAACATGTTCCCAGATTTCTCGACACTTCTCTCCTTAAAAGGAGGAACTTAATCCCTTCCCCTTGAACGTGGGCTGAACTTACTGGCTAGCTTCTAAGGAACAGCATGTGGCAAGAGGACCCTCTGCTCGCAAATCCTTGCCCCATAGAAACTGTTACAGATAATAAACGTTTACTGGTGTTCGAAGCCCTAAATTTGGGGGTAATTTGTTACTGCTCGCAAATCCTTGCCCCATAGAAACTGTTACAGATAATAAATGTTTACTGGTGTTCGAAGCCCTAAATTTGGGGGTAATTTGTTACACAGCAACAGGTGACGAATTCAGAAGGGCTTTCTGCTTGCTGCCCAGTGAATCAAGTCCACACACTATAGGCACTCGAGGTCTTCCATTAACTGCCTTACTTTGTCTTTGAATATAAACACACTGCTTCAATCTAAGGCCAGTTATTCCACGGACCTCACATGACATAGTAAAATTCTGCCTTGACTTTAGTCTATGCTAATCTCACAGGAAATGTCCTTCCTGATTATCTCTAGTCAACTAAATTCAATACTTTCTTTTAGGCTAACTTCAAAATCTACTTACCAAAAATGTTTTCTATTTTTTTAATGCCCATAAACATAGATCTGATTTCCAAAACGATATTTAAGTTATTTCAGGTAGACATCATGGTTGTGCTATCTTTCTATTCCCCATATTAATGGACAAACACACATAACTTTTTGTTTAGAATTAACTTTCATGAGGCTTTTTTCCAAAAAAGTTTTGAATGTCTTTTAACAATGGACATATACAATACAGTTTACTTGGCTTTAAAAAGTGTCAAATAGTTTGAGATGATAATTTGGTAGAATATATTACCCCCAAAATATACATGGTCTATGATAAGCAATTCCATTTCCAGGAATCCATTTTACAGATACAGTAACGTAAGTAAGCAAAAATATAGGTACAGAGAAATTCTCAATAGCACTGTTTATAATAGGGAAAAAATCAGAAGCAATATGAAATACATCCAGAGGAAAAATTAAATTAGGATTCAATAAATTACCATGAATCCATTTTAAAACATGAAATGGGTCTACATGTACTGACCTATTCATATCGCCATGATATAGTAAGCAAAAAAAAGCAAGTTTCAAAAAGAAAGTAAAATATTTCACAATACATTTAACAACAAATGTGCAAAACCCAACTGAGAAAAACTTTAATCCTAAAACGACACAAATGACAACTTTACCAAATACAAAGACATTTCTTACTTTTGGATAGAACAAGTCAACATCAAAAAAATGTCAGTTTGCCATAAATTACTTTATAAATTTAATGCGATCCCCATAAATATACCACCAACTCTTATTAATAAAACTAGACAATTTATACCAAACCTCATATTAAAAATACAAGCGTACAAACAGCCAGGAAAACACTAAAACTCTAGAAGGAGGACTAGTCCTTCCAGACATTAAATTATACTATCAAGCCTCTATAATTTAAAGCACGCTACTGGCCCATGAGTAGACAGACAAACCAGTGGAGTAATACAGGAAGTTCAAAAACAGATCCAAGTACAGACGGAACTTCAGTATGTATATGATAAAGGGGGCATCTAAAAATCACTGGGGCAAAAATTGGCTTTCTAGTAAGTAATTAAAACAATTGTTAGCCATTTGGAAAAAGATGAAATTAGATCCATACCTCATGCCATACACAAGAATAGATGCCAAATGAATCAGGGATCCAAATGTAAACCAAGGAAGCCATACACATACTAGAGAGCGGGAACGGTGAGTTCCTCTATAACCGTGATATAAGGAAAGCTGTGCTAATTATGACTCAAAACCAGGAAGAATAAAATTTGATTATATAAAATTTTTAAACAAATTTACTTTGCATGACCAAACAAAAAATCATTGACAAAAGACAAAAGATAAAATGGGAGAAAATAGTTACATCATGTCACAGATAAAGGAGCTAATGTCCATAGTACAGAGGAAATAGGCTATTAACTTGACAGAAAAATGGGCAAAGGACATGAATACATACACACATACAAATACACACACACACACACACACACACTCACTCACATACGTATAGCCCTTAAACATTGAAAAGATAATCAATTTTACTCAATAATGAAATGCAAACTAAGACTACATGGAGGTGCTATTTCTCACCTATCAGATTAGCAAAAATTAAACAGTATAAAAAGTCACTCTTAAAAAAAAAGTCACTCTTGGCTAAGTTATAGAAAAACAGACACTCTAATACACAACTACTTGGAAAAATGGCCATTTTCAGTGAGAAGGCAGAGAAGGTATTAAAGGAGGACCCTTCTGTGCCAGAAAGTGAGGCTGTGACAAGAAATGATGGGGACGTGTCAGAAAGACATAGAGGCCAGCTTGAAGGGGCTCCCACTGGCCAACTCTAGGACAATTTGACCATCAATATAAGTAATGAGAATATTTTTAAAAAGTAAGAATCCACGCATCTACACTGATGTAAATAAATAAATGTGAAATAAGGGAACGTTTCTCTTTGTGGATGGAAGCCAACAAATAAATGAAAAGGGTATGATGGAATTTTACATCACCATTGGGAAAACATTGTAAGAAGACTGATTTAGACAAGAATCGTCCATGTATGCTAAGGCCCACAAGTAAAAGTTTGAGTAAGTAATAGGATATTAAAAACATCACTCCACAAGATGTTATTGTCTGAAAGGGAGGAAACAGTCACCACACTGGACAAACCTGGCAGACCAGCCTTACCCAAGTGATCAAAGTTAACGTCACCAGCAGTGGGACAAACAGACACCATGTGCCTCCAAACACAATGCACTGAGAACATAATGTCCCTTGAATAGCAATTCTGCCAAAAGTACAAAACCTGAATTCAACCATGAGGGAAATTCAAACAAACTAAAATAGAAGGACGTTATAGTAAAATTGGCTCATAGTTTTAAAAAACGTCAATGCCATGAAGCACAAAGACTGAGAAACTATTCCAGGCACAAGGGGACCAGCTGTAATGTATCATCTGTAATTTTCTTACTATAAAGACATTTGGGGAATAATTGACAGAATCTGACTAAGGTCTGTACTTAGATAATATTATTGTATCAGTGTTAATTTCCTTACTTTTAAAAAGAATAAACTTGACAAATAAGGTAGGGGAATAGTAAGTCCTGGCTGAGACTGTATTACCTGAATCTAACAATGAGGAAACATCAGACCAACACAAAATGAGAAACTTTCTATTACAAAAAAAAAAAAAAGGGAAGGGGATCCAAGATGGTGGAGTAGATAAACACGGTGCCTGATTCCTTCCATGAACACATTAAAATTATAACTAAATTATAGAACAATCAACCTGGAGAACCATCTGAGCTGGCTGAACAGGAGGTTGTATAACTAAGGATATAAATAAGAAGCCACGTGGAGACTGGTAGGAGGGGCAGAGAGGCAAACCGGGCTGGCTGCAAACCTCCGTGTGACGGTTGAAAATAGGGAGGGATAGCTCAGCCGCCGAGGTTCCCCATGGAGGAGCGAAGGACCCCAGCCCCACTCCAGGCTCCCCAGCCCAGAGTACTGATGTCAGGAAGAGAAGGCCCCACAACGTGTGGCTGTGAAAAACAGTGAGGATTCCAACCATCTGGGAGGACAGAAGGCTGCGGGAAACCCAGGTGTCCTCTTAAAGGGCCCACGCACAGACTCACCCTCTTACAGTCACTCACCTTGGGCTCCAGCAGAGAGATGGTGACTCAGGGGGCATCAGAAGCATATGGGGAGCAGACTGAGGTGTGTGGCTTTGAGGCCAGGGCTGGAGGACAGTCACCATTTTCCCCATATGGGGTCCTTCTCCCGTGCAGCCAGCAGGTGGGCACCATCTTTAATGTGCTGAGCCCACCCCCACAGGCCAAATCTAAATCTGATTGGCCTTGTGAGCTCTGGGCTCTGCCCTGCTGATTCACTGGGACCCCACCCCACCCAACTCCCCCAGTGTCGGACCACTTTCTCCAGAGCAGCCAGCCCCACACACATTGCACTCTTCCTTGGAAAACTCTTGAGGTCCACGGGCCCCAGGCAGGCGGCCACTGGCCTCAGTGTGCTGAGACTTGC